CAAATACCCTCGGCAATTTTTTTAATGCACTGCCAGTAACGAAAGGCGATGCTGGGGCGACCCGAGAGGTCATTTAAATAATTTGAAAGGTTAAACCGAACGGGTAAAGAGGATGAAGTCGATTGGGGTTTTTAGAATTTTCCGAGATTCCCTCGACCCTTTCCGCATCTTTAATTCCCTTGGTAAAAGCTTACAGCCTCAACCCCCTAGCCCTCCTCTCTGATTCACGTAATACAAAACCACTCTCAATGCAGAATTGCTTGATTCATTAAATAATTCCCAATGCAATTATTTCCCATTATATCCACGCAGACCTCGAATCCCGGCCTCAGGAGAATGCACGTGATTTCACGTAGCCTAAAATATTAAGCCAGACACATATAGCCTCGGTCATAGCATTTACCAAATCTGATAGATTCGAAATGATTGATTCTCCTTTATAGAGGAGAAGCAAAGCATTCCTTATTCCCTCTCTGAGAATAACCATTTTGCAAAGAGGGTTCGGAAAATGGTTCAGAGGGTATAAGCGAGGACACAAAACCTTCAGGAATTTGGACACGTACCCTGAAAACCTATATTGATCGATCGTCCTATCGGCTGTTCTTCTTTTTTTACGTTTCTTCGTCCCCCTCTCATCCTAATCGACATTCGCGATACGACTCTCTCTCTCTCTCTCTCTCTCTCTCTCTCTTTTCGTTCACCGACAAAGGAGCATCCGGCTTCACAAATCACGCGAGAATAGCCACTGGATGCGGCAAGAATATCGAAAAGGGCCAAACCAACCAGATAAATCTGCCCATTTGTCTCGAGAGCGTAGAAAGCTTTTGCATTCCCGTCCGTCCGTGATATTTAGTATACATAACCTCAAAACATATCCCCGATCCTTGCTCGTTCTTCATTTGAATTAAATCCATTCGCGCATTGTACCACGGGTACAGGGTTTATGTATCCTCCTACGTCACAGAGAGGAAATTGTGTCGTATACTTTTATACGAACCTGCGAATACGTATCACGTATGGCCTATACGACGCAAGAACACAGTTAATACTTTTGTCGTAACTGCTGGGATATTCTCGTGCGGGAATAGTCCGATGTGCGAGCGACGCGAAAAGGTCTATTGGAAATTTGCGCTTCTCTCCCGAAATCCACCTTTTCGCCTCTTGCGCGGTAGCTCCCTCGTTTGTTTTCACGGGGATATCACGAATTTACCATCCATGAATTGGCGGTAGCGCAACGTAACGACCTATTTGACATTCCGTTAGTGAATGGGCTACGTTACTTTTCTTCCCTTCTCCCGGCAGCCCCTTTCGATCCCCGTGCCCTTCTACATGGGCACCGACCTAATTTTTCTTTTTGCCAAACTAATTGCAGCCGTTGTGAACGGATGAGCGAGGTTTGACAGCCGCGTGAAAAACGACCTACCTAGAACAGAAAAGACGTGATCTCCCGATGCTCGGGGTACAGTTTTTTATATTTTTCCCCTTTTCAGAAAGGGAGGTAAAACTCGCGGAAGAGAGATGGTCGATCGAGTGGGTGGTCGAGGGGCGCAGGGGGAGTGACGGTAAAACTTCGGGATAGATATAAGAAGTTCTTATGGGTTTCCCAAGCTTTCCTAACAATGGATAAGGGAAATCAGTTGGAGAATAGACAATATTTTCTTTCTTCTTTCATCCACTCGGGTCACGTGATGCGTTGTATACGCTCGGTCCATACAATGAGGACATAAAAAACAGTCGCACGTACTCGTGGATGTTTTAGTCGAAAAAAAAAATATTTTCAAAAGCGACTTACGTCTTCTACTCAAAGAATCAGCTTGGCTGCTCGACTCGGCCCGGATTCTACATGGGTTCGCGATTAGGTCAGGCCTGGCCCGATCTTCCGTGCGTCAGAATGCAGAAAGCAGGGGGCTTCGGGATGTATCGGACGGGCCTTGTATTCGTTTGGCAATCGATTCCCGGCGTTTTATCGTGCGGCCAGAGAGATTACGATCCAATTTACCGTTGGGGATTTATTCCCCAGCTCGTAAATCCCGAAACGTATGAGAATACTAATGAAAGGAAACCGCATAAAAAGTTGCGTGAAGCCAGTTACGTAATTAACGAACAGGCTGAAATAGCCATTGCGAGATGTATACGGAAACGGATAGTGACATGGTTAATATTATTAATCTAGTCATGTAATAATCGTAAACTGATTATACCGCTAACTGTACACGCGAGGGATAATTGACTATAGGGAATAGCATGCATAGAGGTAATACAATACACCTACATGAGGAATGCTCGTGTCTCGTTTCAAGTAATTCAGGGAACTCTTACTGAAATCCTACACCGGAAGACTCCGGACCAGGAACGTGGTAAGAACGGGAAACGCCGCAAGGACAAAAAAGCAATCAAGCTCGGTTAGGCTGGGAAGCTTCCGCTTTCACGGAGCCGAAGTCCTGCTATAACTTACTTACCTTGCGAACCCCCTGGACTTCTGAACGAAATGCCACTGTTCCGCCAGGACCTTTGCCTTATCCCCTTTTTTATCAGCGAGGTCCTTTCTCATCCTTACTTGCAGTCCGTCGCCTCTGATATCGGCCCGCTAGACTCCACCTAAGAGCCACTCACCCCGAAACGACTTGGTTGTCTATCGAAACTTCACCCAGCGACTCTACGGAATGACTTTGTCCTCTGTTAAAGTTTGATTTTTCTTGGTTATACTCTATCAGGTTACTTCACGGTGCTTCCGACAGATGGCGCCACAGGTAACCCAGCCATGGCCTACACCCGCGTACTAGGATAAGGCCGTGCGAGATGTGATTTTACCAGCGAAAGGGGATGAATTTGACGAATTTCTTCGGGAAACGGGCGGGGATGGCGTAGGGGTTGTAAGGGGTTGTTCGAAAGCCGGGGTAGCCCTATAAATTATCTTGCCGTCAGGAAGATCGTGGGTCGCTCGCTGGGATGGTTTTCTGTATGCGAGAGAACGGTTGCATGGACGAGATGACTGGTGGGAGGTCTGCTGGCTTTGTAGGGGATAGTGGGGGATGAGACGGTGTGTTCGAGGGTGGTTGCCGAAGGTGGCTGGATGGTAGCTGCTGAATTTATTCGAGGATTATCGCGCGCCTCCACTCAGCCGCCAGAATTTCTCTCCCCCGGCGCCGCTGCCGCGGAGCGTCGTCCTTCGTATATTAAAATTCGTCCGGGGTTAGCGGGTGCTGATAAAAAAAATTCAAATTTAAAGGGGTTGTCGCGAGTCGCACATTCAATTTGCCGACGATTACCGGACCCGCACGTCTGTCGGATGATCGACGAGCGCGGCCTGCCCCACCCTAACCCGACTCACCGGCAGACCCAATTCCCACCAAACGATACGGCCGATTATCAATCCCTCTTCCGAAACCGAACGAGCCGGCAAGCCAACCCTTTTTCCCTTTCGGGATACTTTGCTCGCCGAGACGCATTACACCCTGTTTCCAATTACCTCGTATAAATTCCACCAACAATACGGAATAATCCGTAAATTTACTATAATATTTCCATTTATTTTTTTTACTACGAATAATCAACGAAGAAAATTCAAAGGACACCGACGGACTGTTTCGTGACACTTTATAAATTAAATAAATTTTTCTCACCACGACCCACCTCGTGACTCAGCCTAGGCTGCTGTAGGCCGAATATCGTCGATACCCACCAAGTCGATAATTAAAGAAACGTCACGCTGAAAGGGATTAATGCTAATTAACGATTGTCCTCCACAAGGCCCCTAGGCTCCACAATAGACTTTTTAATTGTCCTCTACTACGAGCTTATTGGCGGGCACAGCCAGTGCTACTTATGCGGTCCAATTATAATATCAATTAAAAGTAACGAGGCACTCAAGATTTTTCGATGGAACCCGGTCTGCACCTCGAGTCGCCCCATTTCCGGGGTTCGCTCTACGGACAAGTGGCTAAAAGGGTTAAAAGAGCGAGAGGCAGAGAGAGAGAGAGAGAGAGTGAGAGAGAGGAAGAGGGGAAGACGAAGAAAGAGCGTCCGCAGAATATTTTGAGTCCCGGAAGTGCGTCGAGAAGAGGTCTAGAAAATAAGAGGAGGGGCGGAGGGGGAGGGGGGGGGTTGACTAGAAAAGTGTAAGTAGGGGCGAGTGAGAACTTGAGGGGTCTCGTTATCCCCCCTGTAGGAGGCTCACGTCAGACAAATAGCCTCATTTGTCACGTGCTGACCTCCCCTAGTCACTCCACTAGGTAGGTAGGTTGTACCCACCCTTCATGTTCCTTCTCGACGTCCCAGATCTCAAGCCCATTTCTTCCTGGGGACCTGTAAAGCTATACGTTCGTCGTAAAAGCCAGTTCCTCAGGTGCGCCCTTAGTCAAGGATATAAAATTATAAATATAATATTTACGAAAGCCAGTGAGCTTTTAAAGTCCACCGGAAACCCTTATCGGAAACTACTAACCTCTTTACTCGATTTTCTCGAAGTAAACCTCTTCCCTGAACTTCGTCCACTTTCGATCCTCCTTACCACCCGTTTCCATCTGGCACTTATCGTCAAACGACTCCCTTTTCACTCGCTACTTTCATGGACAAATATTTCCCTGGAAATCCAAGAAAACTAATACCCCACGTCGGCATTGACAGTTTCTATCGGTCCCTTTGTCTGACCAAAAGTTGTTTACCCGTCGGTAGGAATTTTCAATTTAACTTGAACATCTAAACAGAGACCAGAGGATCGATGAACGATCTCCCGAACCCCCAGGCAATCATCTGTGGAGTGACTTTGAAATTCCAAAAAAATTACAACGATTTTAGACTTTTCGTGATAAAGGGTAGCTGATAATATTATAATTTGAGATATTATATTTTTTGTGCTTCTACGCCGGAAAATGGGCCTCTTTAGGCGTGGCACACTGGCGAGACAGTCAAGGTCGGCGGCTGGAAGTCTAGACGCCCGTTATTGGCGAACGCTCACGCGCAAGATCAACCCCCCGTAGCATAGTAGAGAGAAAAGCACTTTTGGCCACGCTTTTCCATGTCAGTTTTCCACGGAAAGACTATCGCGATGGGAGTCTCGCGTTTCGAAGTCGTCCTCGACGAAGAAATTTATCACGGAGGTTCACCGATATCCGGCAAGATCTACCTAGATCTGGATTCGTCCCTGAAAGTTCGAGGTACACACACACTGTATTATAAATCACCTGCCATTCCTCGAGCATCGTAAAGTTTCGTGAAAATCCAAATACCTTAGTTAAATAATCCATACAGCAACCTGAGTCCATGCAGTGTTAAGGATTTGCACGGATATTTTCAGGAATCGAAATCAGATACAAGGGCGAAGGCAATGTAAGATGGAAGCACGAGGGTAGCGGTACACACACCTGCAAAGCCACGGAAAGTTACTTGCGAGAAAGATCCTATATATACGGCAGTGAGTTCAAATTTCTCTATATATTTATATCCGTCTGTAGATTGCACACTGGCGCCATGAACGCCATGATGGTATTAAGGATGAAGCGCCACTTTGAGCCCTTGAGAAGTGCCTGGCCACCCCTCCAGTCAGCCACCACCTACACGTATCCACCTATCTACCTACCAAGCTAGACTGTACTACTCTCCTCAATCCTCCGAACTCTGATTGCAGACGGAGAAGACGAGAGTGAAATCCCCGAGGGCAACCACGTCTTCCCGTTTAATTGGAACCTCCCATCGAACATACCGTGCAGCTTCGAGAGCTTCTACGGAAAGATTCGATACTCGATTAAGGCGGTGGTCGACCGCCCGTGGAAGTTCGACTACGCGATCAAAGTGCCTTTCACAGTGGCGCCCATTCTTGATCTCAATTCTATACCCCTCGCAAGAGTGAGTCATTTCGATTTACTGCATTCGTCTGATCCTTTTAGTCTTTTATATCTTTTCTTCTCTTTTTCGTTTTTATTTTTCCTCCACAAATCTTATACTTACTTTATCATGGTATTTCTTCGGTCTATATTTTTTCCATGTAGGAACCCGTCTCCGAAGAAAATTCCAAAGTATTCGGTGGTTCGTCTGAGACATTGACCATGACCGTATTACTTCCGGTTAGAGGTTATGTTTCTGGACAGACAATTCCGGTCCGTGTGAAATTGCAGAATCAGTCGAAAGTCGCTGTGGAGAAAGTTCATATTTTTCTTGAGAAGGTACATCGTCCACTTGTTGGTTTGACGTATGATACTATCGATCGGATATGTTATTATTAAAGTTGAAAATATATTTTTTATTATAAACGATAGGACATCACTTACCATGCTGGTGAGGATCATATAACCCGCAAGGAAGTTGTAGTGGAAATGAAACTTAACGTAATCGAAGAACATGGTGAGGGATTAATTGGTAAATTTCGTGTCCCTCCATTACCGCCATCCATAATGCCTCACAGTAGTATAATCGACGTATCCTATAAAATAAAGGCGAGTGCACAATAACCTACGCTAATACACAGTATCACGTAACCTAACGCAACATTGCAAAACCTAGTAAGCTCACTGAATCAAAATAGTTCACATATCCTATTAATTTAGGTCGAAGCACAAGTAGAAGGATGGTTCCACAAAAATCTCAAAGTCAAAACAGACATTCTCATTGGCACGATTCCACTATTGAGTTACGAACTTCCAAGAAGATTGTCAAGAAGTTCCAGACAGTCGAGTATGGCTGAAACCGTAGAAGATATCGAAGTCGAAGATAGTGTCGACACTAGCGACGCGCATCGGTCAGCGTCGAAAATATTCTACAGTCATCAAGAAAGCGCGGAAACACCGGAGGATCACGAGGAACGTGTCAGGAGCTTGGGTGAGTGTCCTTAAGGAGTTTTAGTTGTGTAATCCAGGACCTCCGTATTTATACACATCTACAACCGATAATCTTCTACCTTGTAGCACGACCGGCTTATCATAGGTGCCCGAACACAAGGGTGGCCAAAATAGTCGAGGAGGAATTAGGAAGGCCAAGCGAAAGCGACAGCGACGAAGAAATAGCGTCAAGTTTTTATCCTAGATATCCTGTTTACGAATTCTTTGATTCCCTATTTTTGGAAGATTCAGAGTGAGTTTACCGAACTTTTCGTTGATCTTAGCAAACAATATAAATTTGAAACAAGTGCAAAGAGTTACGCAAGATAAAGCATACACAGGGTTATACATGAATATCGTACCAAATGAAGTTAGCCCGTTCATTTGTTTTATATGGCGGAACGATCTTCACGTGGTAGAAGATTTATTTAATAATCCTGTATATATAATATTCACGGTCATTAAGCCCAAAAGCTCCACATGAATACGGTTTTACCATAATAATCAAATGGGTGTGCTAAAACCGTATGGTGAGTAGATATATATGTCTATATATATATATATATATATATATATATATATATATATATATATATATAACACTCATATAATACATATGTATATACACATCATATACGCATACCAATGATGCTTTAATTTTTGATAACCTGGTAGATGGTGCTTTATCGCTTAATGTTTTGTTTCAAGAGACTTAAAGCTCCTTCCTTGGCCTCTTTGCTCAGCTACATATTCATTGACGCAATTAATAACGCTGAAATAATTCCTGAAATACGAGTCACGTAAGTGAAATCTTGCGCATGCGCACAATTACTCATTGAATCTTGAAACCTCATGCCGATGTGTCTGTCATTTAATCTCCTCTATATACAGAAAAGTGAGGTAAGGCCGGATCTATTAATGACGCAATACTTTTTGAGTAATTCCAAAAACATATCATAATTGCCTCACCTGCAACTCATGTCATGGTACCCCACCTAGTCCCACCAAACCCGTCGTTTTCTACATTAAACACAGTCTCTCTGTACTTAATCTCCTCATTATACGAAATAATGAGAAATTGAACGAATTAACAATCCTCTTACGACAGTCATTAATAGTAAAATTTATAAAGCCTTTTTTACCTCATTAAAGCACGCGAACGCTACTGTACGGCTCAGCAAGCAAAAACTGACTGATACAGGTTATATAAAAAGAAAAGTTATACTCAAGTAAGTAACAGTTACATAAATCCATAGTTCCTTACCCATTACATCCCTGAGAGACATTTAGCATATATGTAACTATTATTTTGGTGTTTCCTGAAATGCGCATCAAAAAATGACAAAAATTTTATTTGAGTCAATAAGTACTCACCAACAAATAATTCTCCTTTTTCCAGTCAGTTGGCCTTTTTTTTTTGAACCGTTTAACGAGACCCCATTTTTTTGCTTCGTCTACTCTCGTTTCGATTTTAAACCAACTCGATTCCTATAGCGGAACATAAGCCGAAAGGTCGGAGTTTCACTGAGGTTAACGAGACTAGGATGACGAAAGGGGCGATTTGGTGGATTTAGGGGTGCGACTGGTAGCAAAGTAAATGGGCGCTATTATTCCGGTATTTCCTGATTCCCTCGCTTCAACTCATTGATCTGCATTGGACCGCGAGTTTCGGCACGGATAAAACCGGGTCGCAGCGGAAAATATTCTCTACTGTAAAAAAAAAATTGAGGGTTAGTTCCGTGAAAGGTTGTTGGGCAGAATAAGGAGGGGAGAGTGTATAATAAAATCAGAAAAGAAAGGGACAAGTCGAGCCAGAGGGGCGTAGTATTCCGTGGGAATTAATGACTAGGTCGTTAGGTCAACTGGTTATTTTTCTCGTTCCCACTTTCGTCGTATTAAATTGCGCATAAAATTTTTCCTTTATTTCATGAAATTGAAATTTAATGCGCTTCCTCCTTGTTTCTCTGAGCATTACATCGAAATCCTCAATTCTATAAAATTGTTCACGTTTCAGCTTCAAAGTTCAAACTCGCTGTGCTAATGTTTATCGGGTTTTCACCCCACCACGCAGCATTTGTATGTACATATTATGCCCGGTCACGTTTATCGGAAAAGTACGACTATTCGGTTTTGCAAAAACGATATTTAATAATAATAATAATCTATTTAATAATAGCATGATCTTCTAGGGTATCTAAACGTTGAAATTCTTTATCGTGTTCCAATCTCGATTCCATCCAATTTTTCCAGGCCTTATATAACGTACCTATTACATACCAAATCTGTTTTCTCTCAATTTATATATATAAATATAATATATTTAAATATATACACATAATTATATACGTATAAAATTACAAAAAAAAAAAAAAAAAAGAAAAACTTATATGCCTTTCTACAGCTGTACCTATTATTCTTCAGTGTTGATATTATGTAATAACCTGCCACCTTACAATTGCAATATACGCAAAAGAAAATTGTTCCTATATCAAGCACCTGTCTTACTTACCTACCAGTGGATATACGATAGCGGTCAGAGGAAGGAAAATGAGACAAAAAAATGTTCAAGGAAGTGAAAAATAACAAAAGGGAAAAAAAACGGATGGCCAATATAAGCAATATGAAAAGTGCGATAGAGAGGGAGAGAGAGTAAAAGTAAGAAGGGGATAGATTAATGAAGAATAGAGGATCGACCAACAAGCTCCTTATATAATGCATGAGTCTAGACAGAAACCCTTTAAGACAAACGTACGTTAGGAACTAAGTCTAAGACCTAACTGGGATCCACAGCTGCAACTTCAGAAGGTAGGTATACTGTAGTAAGATCGTAATTCGCCCAAGAGAGGCTGGAAAACATAGCAGCGTTACCGACAGAATTCATCGACCCGAAGTCGTAATTCTATGAGAAAAGAGTAAAAAAAGACAAAGTAGAGAAAGAGAGAGAGAGAATACCACCAGTAAAGTAAAAGGAGAGAGTACCACTTCTGCCATTTTCCTGCTGGCAATCCTCAAGCCGATTTCTCAGCATTACTTTTCCAAGGCAGAAATGTTTGTAACATTTCCCCAGAGGATCGATTCAATTTACTTGGACTTGGTTGCGTCCACGAGTCCCGTCTTGGCTTTTCCGACTTTTCTTGAGCTTTTACAAACCGCACTAGAGTCATCGCCAGAGAGCCATTAGAATTTTACCGACAAGAGTTTTGCTTACACTTTTCCTTTCACGTGTCCCTATCTTTTTCTTACTCTACAGAAATAACCTTCGCTCTCGCATCCTATTGTCAAGAATCGCCAGAATGGAGATCGCTGCTGTCTTTCGCTGATGCAACGAATAAATACCTATTTGTATACTCGACGGAACTCAAACACAAATTGTTTACGTAATCTATTTCGTACGAAATCCCAGTAGAACGTTCAACAAATATAACCTTTCTACGAGTACAGAAATTCTATAGAACGTTACGTGTAACCATGATGAGATTGTATGGATGTTTGTGGTGCTCACTATAATTATAGACTATGCGAGAGTAATTCATATCGGTACAGCTGACATCGGTGTAACGAGAAGAGAGCTTAATGGTAGGCTGGCATTATAAATAGGGAGCCTTACAATGGCAAGATAATAGTATCATAAGCTTAGTATTAAAGAGAATTAAAAAATTTATATATATATATATATATAGATCATCGTCGGGCTGTATCATACGCTAATGAACACATTCACCATCGTGATTCATTATTAAAATTTATATTTGTATCAAATGGAATCATCTACATAGTCCTGACACCCTCCCGGAATTCCATTAAATTAAAGTAACAATCAATCAAAATTTCAGTAGATTCATCAGCGTTGAATGAAAATAAAAATAATATTGATAACGAGTCGTTCATTTACCACGGTGAGGATATCGCCCATAATCGAAATGGCCAAGAGGGACGTACATAATAAAATGCCTTCCGTTTTAATATCTCGGTGGTTCTAAATAAACAGCGCGAGAAATAATAACCGGTCGTACAGAATACAGACGGCTAAGCGAAATTCATACCGGCTCTTAAACTTTATTATCGTCAACGTTAAAACATTCGCGTATTACGTTACGACTCCTGGGATCCGTCGTTGCGTCTTTCTTTTCTCGAATTACGGTTAACGCGAGCGTCGTTCAGGGTAAATGTTTGCCTTAATACGAAAGCAGTTTTCTGATTTCCCCCACATTTTTTCCACCCTGTACACCTCTCCCCTCGCTCTTGCCTCTTTCACCCCCATACTTTTTCCTTACGTTTTGCTTTCACCCATCCATCGTCCTCCGCTTCTTCGTTCGACTAACATCTACCACTCGCGCTGTGTCCACTATTTTTTTTCTCCAGCCGCTTCTCTTTCTTCTTTTGCTACCAGCAACCCCCTGCTTCTTCTCCTACAGCCCGTCGTCGCTCCCGCAAAAGTATTAAGCCCGCTACGAAGAACTTCATCAAAGTAAAACACGTCCTCGCCCGGACGTTATGAAAGTTGCGCATAATATTAACATAACTTTCTGGATGCAAGAAGCATATCTGCATGATGGAATGTGTCGAAATGTCGAGGAGCGAAATGAAATTGATAGAACTCTCGTGTCGCCCTCTAGCCAGAAACGCTGCCACTGCGCCACTTGATTCGTTTGTCAATTTGTAGCTCGTCCTTTGTTTCTCTCTTGTGCTTTTCATTCCTATTCATCAGGTTTCTCACGCTACGTCTGCTTTACTGATTTACTGCTACTTTTTTCTCTCTTCCTTGTCCTCCTCCTCGCTCGCTCGTTCCTCGTTCTCTGTCTCACGGGGAATATCAATTCAACGAGCTCCCTTTTGTCTTCGTTCAGCTTTGCGGGAGCTTTGAGTTTCAACTGTTTCATAATAATGGTTGAAGGAAACAAAAAAAAAATTAATTCCGTACTGGAAAGGGAAAATGGCATTAACCAAAAACTTTTAACGCGCTGAACTATCACTGATAATAAATTATACTCTATTTTGGATACTCACCGCTCACTGATTTCACACTAAATTTTTTCCGAATAATCCTTGATTCTCGTCGACCCTTATTATTTCACGTTGCAGCCCCTCTCTGTTATTTTATTTCCTATGGCCGGACAGTGTGGCTGTGCCAAGTGTTGTTTTCCTGCTTGTCCACCCCAGAAGTTTGTATATCCGTACGATGAGGTATCCCATGAGATCCAGAACAATGTCCTCTCTATCAGAGTGGCCAAGGATCTGAGACAGATCGAAGGGATTCAAGGGGAAGTATCTGAACGCAACCCAACGTTCGATGTATCGTGTTCCGATGCCTACGGTGAGTATAATATATAAGAAAAGGAAAAAAAAACAAGATATTGTTATTGTTATTATCATTGTTTCAAAGGAATTGTATCATACCTTCTTCCGTTCGTCGAGACAGGAAACGGCGTGAATAATCCGCTACGTGATTTCTTGTGTCCTATCAATAAAAGTTGTATTTCCTGGGGAGAAAAAAAAATTCACGAAAATGAATTGCTGGTCTTAAATATGGATATCTCTTAGCGCTTAAGGGTCGGGGCTGAAAAAGATATCGTAGAGAAACTTACCCATAAAGAATTATCGATAACATCATAAATCAAGATTTCCATCCACTGTGCTGTGTCCCGTAACCTTACAGCGTTTCTTTGCCGACGTATCCAGGAAATTCACTAAGCTTCGCTGACCCATTTCTCGTACTCTGGGAATCGTCCAATAACGTGAGTATCCTCGTTTTCAAGGTAAAAAGTGCAAGACCGGCTGCGCCAAGGTGAACGTCATACCGAACAAAGTTCCGCCGGCGAAGAAACCGGAAGAGGAAATGTTCCTGCTGAGAGCAACCAAGCAAATAATGAACACGGACGAGCTGAAAAACAGCCTGGAGATCGAGTTTAAGGCTCCACGAAATTATATCCCGAAGCCTGACCCGGGGCCAGCACCCCCCATCATTCAGATAGCCACTCGGCAGGGTAAAAAGTCTGGAAAGGGTAAGAAGGGCAAGAAGAAGGCAACCAAGAAATAGAGGGTTGGATTCATGGAATAGTTTTTGGACCTGCACCAAATGGGATATGAATTCGCTTATGAGAATCATACGGAAGACTTACTTTAGAATATTTGAAAATTTTTTTAAATAAAATTTGAAAATCCTTGGTTTTCAATCCAATTTTTCAATCCTTCAGACATCCAACCAATGATATATATGACTTACGGAGTAAATATGACAATCCATTTCCTCTATCCCTTGACATTATCAGTTTACAAATCTATTTTACAAACTACGCATATTCCATTTCAGTATTTTTATTATATATTATTTGACGTATAAAAAATAGCATTTTTTCTTCCAATAAACATTTTATGAAGGGACATGAAAAAATGACTACCGATCAGTCATAGCGCGACACCCGGAGGGTAAAGAAGAATAATTTACACGGAGCTGCTGATGATTATTCTTTTCTTCTTTTTTTTTTTCAATTTCACCAAGAAGCTCTAAAGGGAACGTAATAATAATACAGAATACGTACTACGTACGAATGTTGAAATGGAGATACTTTGTCCAAATGTCGGTGGTTGGATGAATTTTTATATATTTTTCTCTCCTCCGTCTCCTCCTGTACCTCGAGCATCCCTCCGGGCCACCAATCATATACTTCGACTTTCCAACAATTCCCTTACACCGTGCAACCCTTGCCTGCCTATGTCCCAGCCGACGCGCGAACCCATAGAAAAAGATTATAATGTATGCATAGACTGGAAAGTTGGCGCAAGCTCAAACTACGTTCTGGGCCCCGTTTCGCGATTTACGATTCCCATAAAACAAAGTGTGAACCATCTCGTCGAAAGCCGCCGTAACCCTCACACGGGTATGGGCATAACCACCACGTTCCCAGGGGTAGCTTTCCCAGCTTTACGTTATACTACATCACACGGCCAGAATTCTCTTCTAACGAGTGTCAATTAAACTTTCGTCCAATTGACTCAAGGATTAATCGGTATCGAGATACCGTGCTACAGCGCCATCTGTTAGAATTCAGGGGAACCTCGACGAACTAAGCGAACTAACGCTTTACACGAGTCCCCCTTCCATCTGTCCGTCTATTTAACCCAGTATTAGGTATACGTATACCATTCAGGTATAGTAACAAGAAGTGTAACCGAGCTCTCTGGGCCTTAATGGTGAAATATACGGGACACGGTTTTCGGGGTAATTTTACAAGTGGCGATATCTCATACAAACGAGCCAGTGGTATAACCGAAAATGGAGAGAGGACCCTTGCGCATGCGCACGGGACTTTACCCGCTGAGGGTTGGTGAGAAGATACGATGGGATTGAGGGGTCAGAGTGATAAAGCGTGCCATTTGTCTGGAAAAGGAGAGAGAGACTCCTCGCGGGTCCGAACGAAGCTTTTCTCATCCTCTTTTCCAGCGTATTCTAACCTCTACTTCTGAGGGCTACCGTATCACCTCGTTCAGAGGCACTTCGTACTCCCGGAGAAGTCAGCGAAATTCGTTCTTCACCCGTCTGAAACATGGCTCTTCTTTCGTTTCCTCGAAACGAAGAAACCAATCCGACCCATGGAGAAGAGGTACATAAATATATTGTGTCGTAAATATATACGTTAGTAACACTCGTAAAGAACCATAAAGAGTTGAAGTATCCATTTATGTAGGGAAACGCGAGGACTATATCTCATTGGAAAAACGTTATATCGAATTTTGTCCATTGTTTCCGTTTCAGTTGAACGGACCACTAGAATGGCGGACTCGATCAGTACTTGGTATATTTTAGATCCATTTCGAATGGCTACCAACATTACCAATATATGACGATGAGTATCATCTATATAAACGTCAATAATAAAAATGTTCATGTGTGTGTATATTCTATGGCGAATCGCTCGTTGCGGATTACTCGAGCACCATGCATTCCTCTGTCTATGAGTTGATGGAGAATGGATTTTGTGGATGGGTCAATTGGTACGTACACGTAGGTAGTCAAAGTTGGATGATGTATAGGAGGTGAGTGTTCCTGTGCATAGAAGTATGAAAGCTTCGTTGAGTCCTGTATATTTCAATAAAATTGGAATTTATTGTAGGTTCCATTTCGCAAATGTGAACCAGCCAAGACAACAGGGTCTCATTGGAATTCCATAAGGGTGCAATGTACGTCGCCCGATACTCATCTGTACCCCTAGTGAAAAGCGAAGTAGAGGTCGACTTCGACCTGCTGGAACTTAGTAAAGAAGCCTTTGTATATGCCAGCTCACGCGAGACTCAACCCCAGTCCTTGCCTTCGGCCTTTGCTCCTTCTCAAGTCTCTCTCGGTCCTGCTTCCAACCCTGAAACCACCCCCTTTGAGGGTTTGCCGGATTTTTGTGATTTTACGCGGAAAATAAAACAGCCCCCAAAGCCAGCCGTGATCGGAATTCGCCAGAAGCCAACAACCACCTCTAGTAGACTCCCTAACCCGGGTTATTCGCGTAAAACTACCCTTGCCTATATATATTAACCGGACTGTTTCACTCTGGAAAATCCTATTTAACTTTTAACAGTATCCCATACATAGCCAAGGGCTGATGGCTTTGGCTAAAGTTTCTTAAGAATTTTACGTCGATCAGAGACTTTAAGTGTGTTTAATACTTTGCGATTTTACCTCGTTTTACAGATTTTTCGATAACTTCAACCCTTGCTGAGGATAATATAATTTTTTTTTTATCGAATGGATAACTAACTATACTTGACTAACTATACTTGGTTCGATTGCATTTTATTAGTTGGCAGCAGGTCCACCTTTATCTGCGATTTGGATTCCAGCATGTTCACAGCAGGGGTAGTTGCATTTCCTGGGGAAACACGAAGTAGTAAAAAAATGAGAAGAGGGTTGGGATAAGGCTAGCAAAATACGAGTATAGTACCAACAGACAAACTGTAGGAGAACAGTGGGGTGGCTTAGCAGTCCAAGGCATTTGCATTCGTCGACACTTAGGTCCCAGGGTGGGTGGACTGTCGGCGAAGGGGTTGCACTGGCATTATGCAAATCTTAATTCGCCTTCCGTTGGAAAACTCATAAAATTACAGAGTTTTTCCGCAATAAAGCGACCAAACTGCAGCAAGGTTTAAGGGTGGGGATTCTGGATGCCCCTGGATGCTCTTTAAAGGTATAAGATCCACTTCAGGGGATGGTTAAGTAGGGCGGTACGGCGGATTTCGAAAAGGGCAAGTGCACTCCTGGAATAACGAGACAAACGTTAAGGAAAACGGATGCAGGTCATGATGAGTGGATACTCCAGACTTATTATTCGGTACTAACTAATATCGAGGAGATCAGACTCATTCGAAGCCAAGTAATACTTCGAGCTATCCCTCTAAGGATCAACGTTATTTCGCGATAATTTCACCCTTCGGAACATGGGGGTTTCGTATTTTCTCGGGGTGATTTAGGATAATGATATCTTAACTTGCGATATCCTATCGGCGGACATCGATATAAATTTATCGGGCGCCACGCTATAGACACACAATGGCTCGGAAAAATGTGAGCTATCCTTATCAGGCTTTATGGCGTAGAGATAGAGGGAATTTGTGGAGCGCACGCTACTTCCGTCTCTATACCTAGAGAATAAAAATGGGGAGAGACTGGGAATTTCGATAAGCCCCTACTATAATGCAACCGTTATTACACTGTTCGCTGGTGCGTTCAACTAAAATGACATTTAATTGAGAATTATACTACTTGATGAATTACTTACCAATTAGTATTAGCTTTGACTGAATACATAATAGACATGCTTGTGATTCCGACCTCGCCATGTTTAAATATAAAATATATATGTATGTATATACATACAGCGTTTCACTGGGTAGTCTATTTCTAAGTATCCACGGCACCCAAGCTCGCGTGACACCATAATCACATAAGATGTTCAGTCTACCTCTTCAGACAACGGTATTAAGTACGAGTACATCACCATGTTTATGTAGAATATATTCAACTCGGAAGTGACGTTTATTGATATATAAAATACGATGTGTATTTTTGATATACTATGCCAATATAAGGGACAAGAATGAACTACATATGGAACGTAGAAATACAGTTCGATCCCATCGTAACTATTTTATGTTTGCTGTAAAAACGCACACTGAAACGAGGAACTTACCAAAGAAATTGACTGTGGCACTATCTGCCGTAGAGTCCAGCAAACTGTTACTGAATTTAGGGTGTCGAGAATAAATTTCACCGGCGAACGTACATGGGTTTGTGCACGTAACGCTATCTGCTGGGACATTCCCGAAGTTTCTCATGCGATCAACGAGTCATAAAAGGTATTACATTTCCTTTTTTTACTTTTCTATAATCGTCGGGTACTTATCAAATATAGGTTTCAGAATTTACCTGGTGGCACATCTCCTCAAAGGAAGGCAGAACTTACCTAGAATTATCTTCCATAGGTATTGTCCGTATTGCCGTTCGTCGGCGTCTATTAGCTTTGGAGACTTCTTGAACCATTGAAGTATTCCAAATTATTCTTTGGAATTTCTGGGGAACTATCACATCCTTTTCGGTGATACTATCGTATACATCTAGTGTGTTTATTCACTCTCTAGGCGTTGACAGCGTCATAGTTGCCGATGGCCATAGGGGAACCAGACTTTCCGTATTCTTTTCTGAATTGAGCGTTTACGGAAAAGAATAAAAAAAGGCATACGTGGCTAAACTGAGAATTGAGACGGGCGTGTTACGAAAGTTCACTACGCCTGACCCCGAAGAAGAAACGTTATTCGTCAAGCGAAGTCCCACGGATCCTACGGCCGCCACCCCCCTGGCATTTCGGAAGCAACGTTGGTAGTACTGTTCCCTCATCTCCAGATGGTTTGGTCTCCAGTGACTAAGTACTCGTAATAGCAAGGGTGTATTAAGCCGGCCTTCTCTTGTGAAATGCGCTTTTAAAGCTCGGTAAGCTCACCAAACATTTTTACACGGCACGTATACACAATCGGCCATTTTTATTAAATACTTTTACATGCACGGATGAGACAGAATGCTTCTGATTTATCTACTACTCTTAATACCCAATAGTTCATTTATGAGAATGTACTTCTATTAGAGATTTTCAGACTGTGCTTTCGGGTCCAAGCATTGTTTCGCGCTGAGACTCACAAAGAAAAAAGTTATGACCGAGTACAAATTAGTGGTAGTGGGTGCTGGTGGTGTTGGCAAGTCCGCACTCACCATACAGCTCATCCAAAACCACTTTGTAGATGAATATGATCCTACGATAGAAGACTCTTATAGAAAACAGGTAATTGTTTAAAAAGCTTTATTGATCTCAAATAAATTAATGTTATCTCAATCTTGGTTGAAATAACAAATATTATTATGACTTTAATGTTTTGCAAGTATTTGTTGTAGTATCCGATGTATAACTTACATTACTTTGTTTGGCGTAGGTTGTTATTGATGGAGAGACGTGTCTCTTGGATATTCTTGATACTGCTGGTCAAGAGGAATATAGTGCCATGAGAGATCAGTATATGAGAACAGGAGAAGGCTTTCTTTTGGTCTTTGCTGTAAATTCTGCAAAGAGTTTTGAGGTAGTTCATCAATTTTTTCATGATTCATTATCACATTTTACTTTTTCTGCAATTTCTCTGTTATGAGTCTAGCGAAACCTTAATTTTCTGACACCAATTTCCAAATGTGTTAAAGGATATCGGTACATACAGAGAACAGATAAAGAGGGTAAAGGATGCCGAGGAAGTTCCAATGGTCCTGGTGGGAAACAAATGTGATCTACAGCAATCATGGGCTGTTAATATGACACAAGCACGAGAGGTCGCGCGGCAGTACGGTGTACCTTTTGTAGAAACATCTGCAAAAACTAGAATGGGAGTAGACGATGCCTTCTACACTTTGGTAAGAGTGGTAAATAAATGAAAGAACTCTTCAAAATTGATTTAAGTGTATTTCTAACCCGCGCGTTAACGCGTGCATATTACAGGTGCGAGAAATTCGAAAGGATAAGGAGCACAGAGGTAAGGAGAAACGGAGGAGACTGCGCGGTGCCAGTTCTGGTCGTAGGAGATATCGGTGTTGCCTGCTCTAAAATTAAATAACGAAACAAATGGGTGCGTAATAAACGCTAAAAAAGTCAAGTCTGAAGGATTAAGAACCCCGAAAAGAAGAAAAGATCGAACTCGTATGTTAATCATAAAAGCAGGAGTGGATAAATGTCGCGTGAACAAGTGGACGCCGTTATCAGAGTGTGAATGACGACGCGACAGAAAAAGAGACGTGTTAGAGTGTAAAAAGTCTTAGGTTACATTTCACCGCACACTTTGCAGCTTAACACCCTTCCGAATAGCGCATCTCGGAAACGCGAGAATAAAGAGGATTGGAGCCCGGGCGTTTCTATTACTTTTGCCTTTGAAATTTTCTTGTTTCTTTCCTTAACTAACCAAAAGGAAGAAAGAGAAAGAACGAGAATAGATTTCGGGTTCCACCTGCAATTGTATAATATTTACTACTATTACTATTACTATTACTCTTATGCCTACACACTGTTCAGATGAAAAATATCTCGTGAACCTCGGACGTTTTTATTCGTAGTATTAAAAAAAATGTCCCAGATTAACTGGGACCTCGTGTTTAATTCGTAGGGCGTAGGAAATGTGCCTCGCCCGACGTCGAGCAATGCAAAAAAAAACTACGATTTTTCAAGTAGATCCTTGTACGTATATCCACGTATATACCATTAATACACACACACACACACACATATATATACATATACACAGACGCATATGTGTAAACGCGCAAATTTTTTCATAATTATTGTATTATCTCGTCCAATTGGAAAATTAGAGAGATGGATACAATAGGACAATCGAGGGAATGCTTGAGAGAACCAGAGAGTATGAAAGTGTTATTGAGTGAAAGTATGCGCGAGAAAATTCGGGGAGAAGTGGAAAAAAGTAACATTGCAAATAAGAGTGCTCATGGCAATTAAGTTTTCATCGATCCTTACCGAAGTCTTGCCTTATAGCCGATTGGTTCGGTAATGCCAAGTGCAAAGAATCGCATAGTTAAGATCGGAAGTGAAATAGAGCAGGAAGTGAAGGTATATAGAGAAAAGCCTCCATTTATTAAAAAAGATCGGCGCACAATTTGTATCGTCCGATAAATATTGTTCAGTCGCTAAGTGACCTGTATTTTCATTTTTGTTATCCAGTCGTACAGCACAAAAGAGTGATATTTCAAAAGCAAAAGTTTATTTTTGATTGTGCATTATTGTATATACAGGAGATCCTAGGCATTCGATTTCGCTCGATTACTTGCTCTCCTTTATTCTTCGATTTTAATGTTATTCTTTATCTCGACTAACTCCTTGTCCTCGCGCGCGCCAATTTTTAATAAAATTCTTTTTAGCTAGCCGAATTTTCATAAAATATGTGTATATATATATACGCATGCGAATAATCGTTAAGTCGAGTCGAAAAGCCGGGACCCGCTGTGGTACAGAGAGAAATACACACTGAACACATACTACACAAAACACATTGAAGTAGACTGTTCACACGATTGTATCACGTGTGCGTTTTACAAGAGAAAAGAAAAAGAAAAGAATAATAAAAATAGGAAGAAGCAGCGTGGCACGGATTCGTGAGGCGATTTTTCTTATTATTCTTTTTTAAATTGTATTTCCTAGGATTTAATCGATCATTAGACGTTCGTGCTGAAGGATGCTACATGATAAGAGATAACTGCGATATACAATTGAGATATGAGTGTATAGATTAAAAAGAAAAAATTTTAAGAAATCGCAATTATTTCTTTGAAATAAACATTGTAAAAGCATGCTTAAGTGCGGCCATTTTGCCATCTCGTGCCGTGAATTTTTAGATAAAATAATTAGAAGCCGCTCGGCTACGTTATCGTGTCTCTTTTTAACTATGAATTTAAGTCGAGATTCTATTCGAAAAATATTGACGAATAATCTCGACCTGGATTTAATATAACGCGCTGTATAAAGAATAAGTTGATTTTAACCTTGTCATATGATGGCGTTTATGATAAATGATGAGGGTGAAGAAAAAAATACAAAAAGAAAAACAAATTATAATGACACGATTGTAACGATTAATCCGTAAGACATCCCAAAAAATAAAGAAACGTTTATACAATACAATTTTTCAAACCACTTATATCGTCATTGTATATTCCTTAAGATTTCTCATAAGAACTTTCGCCGTACATACCTACCGAACATTAGCTACGCAGTCACACAAGACAGGATTTTTATTTTGATTTGTATTTATTTTGGAGCACCTAAGTGGATATAAAATTGTCATACGCCCATATGATTCTGTATATAGCTATATCACTGTCACATTACAGTCGCTATACGTATATAAACTATCTTCTAATTGCATATGAAATAGTAAATGTAGGCTTGTGTCTCTGAGTAAGTGTCTTCATCGTATCTCTTCTTAAACTGTGTGTTCATGGTTCTGTATATTATAAGTGTGCGCTCTCAATTTCTTTTTCTTCATCTCTGTCACTGTGTGTATTGTGTTGCATGTTAGGTGTAATGAGTGTTATGTATATAGGTATACAATAGTATATATGGCACGTCAGTCTGTTACGTTTAATTACTTAAATCGCTTAGTCGTGATGTTCATCGTTAAATACTACTGTACGTTATTTATCCAAGTTAACTCTTATTAACTGCATTTTTGTCGTGTTTGGCATTTCTCATCGCTGAAAACGCTTCGGCACTACCGTATCATCTCCATGTATTTCTGCTTGTGTTTGCTTAGCATTTCCGTCACAGTCACCAGCTGCTTTATCGTCGGCTGAAATGGAAAAAATTCATGAATGATAGATTTATGGATGAAGTATCATGAATTATTCGCTATTCATTTTGCCTTTGGGCTTACCTGGGTCTTTGACAGAACCTGAAGTTCCTTCAAATGAGAGACACAAATGTGATGCAACGTTGCCAAGTCTCTTGCTGTATCTGAGAGGCATGTACTTTTACCTCTGGAATCTGTACCTTCAGATTCTGGCTTCTCAGTAACATTCTAAAAGATGTGAATGACGATGATACTTTCGTGAAAATCATAATGTATCACAGATCAAGGAATCTGAAGAAACTTACAGATAACTGATCCAGGAATACCACCATTCTTTCCTTGTTCTTGAGTATAAATGGATTCACCACTTCCATGTAAGGTTCCTTACCGCCAAACTCTACCAAGTTTGCGAGATTTTGCAAACACTTGGCTACCATCACCAGAGACCTGAAAATCGAAAAAAAAAATATATTGGATGTCCAAGATTCATTGGGTTTGATGTGGTATCGTCTGGAACATCGTTAGACCCTACTAGACCTACCGTACCTTGCGGCTGCCGGAGGTGGTGGCTCTGCTATGAGATTGAAGGACCGTGGATTCAATATGGCAGGACAGAGTAGACGTAAAAATATAAAACCACTGACTACCCTCGTCCTAACTAATCTTTCGTGAGGCCATTTTGCGACTACGGCTCTTTGCAAACAGCCGCAGATGTAACGAAGCGTCTTCGGACAAGCGTCCGGACTCGTAAAGATACTTAGAGTCACTTCATCCAGTACCTTAATAATCAATAATGAGTTTCATCATATTCAAGTAATGGTTTAAATGAGTTATTGTGAAAATTATTACTTGTAAGAGAAATTCCGCATTGCTGCAAGCATCTTCGGGCGAATCCATTTTTGTCGGATTTAATTCACAGCTCTGTTTACTCTCAATCAATTTGACTATCGTGTCACGCAGTGCAGCCTTTAAAAATGAGGTACACACAGATTTCATGTACAGGTCCATTAACGTTGTGGTAAGACTTGCAGCCCTGAACAATGTGGGCGTTTCATCTTCTTTGTCGACCTGTAGAAACGTGATTTTATTGAGTAAAATGAAAGCTCTCAATAATTCCTAAGAAAACTTACCTCAGCCTGATTGAGCGATCGTAGAAGATCGGCTTCTTTCCTTTCATGCCTTTAAAAAATAACGATCAAATATTAAAAGATCCTATTTTTGTATCGTTATTCACTTAATACTCTATTTTTGCAAAAATACCTAAATATTCGAAGGAGACTATTGGCCAGTGGTACTTTGTCTAAATGGCAAACATCAGCCAAGGCTCTAACGACGTGCAATTCGGGGTCCAAGAGTAATTGTTGCAGAGGACTGTATTCTTCTGGAGGCATTGCTAAGTCATGCCTGTATCTGTAAGTTTGTAATAGGTAATATAGAGTTGTAACAGCATATGTAATTTACCTTAGTTTCTTTTTCCTATTTATATCAAATTTGTACCTTAAACGCAAACGTAACGCTCCCCATTCCCCGATTGGTGTGACACCGGAAAGAGGGTACCATTCATCCATTTCCTCTCCATTAGATAAGTTCGCCAATTCCACAGTGACTTCAGCTACCTCAGTATCCTTACTGCGCTTTCCCTTGTTATACAGAGTCAACGTGAACGACATAACGTCCGGGGGTACATCCCTAAAATTAAAATTCAATATTTCAAACTTATCATAAAAAGTTTTCGCGTACTCCAATCAAGCAAACTTACTCCAAAATGAATTCCTCGTCCCAGAGTGGATGCAAGCCGGTTTTGACTTTTGTGCGTGCTACCTTAACATTATTTAGTGCTACTATTATAAATGGATTCGGCACTAGTTTATAGGGCAGTCTGTGAGCATCGAGAATGTGCAGGTGTAATGAACGTAGCTCCCGTAGTCGGGCGACTTTCGGTGCCCTGGTGAGCTGTGAAACGCAGAGCGGCTTCAATGCGTTTATCCAGTCGAGGGCGTTCTCCGAATTTGGAGCGGCTAAGTAAGTTATAGTAGCCAGGCATGGCAGGGCGCGTTCGACCAATTGAAAACAATGTGGTCTATCGAAAACGCTTTCGTGAACCTAGAACATCAGGGTGTTTTTAATAATCTGCTTCCCCTATGAATAGCTTAATGAACTTCTTGAGTACCTGGTACAAGTAGGCACAGCTTAGGTCTATAAGACCCTTAGGCTTGGTTCTTTTAGGATTGTCGTATAAATACAGGTGTGTATCGGTAGCGTCCACGAGGAGGACGAAGTACAGCGCCTTCCATTTTTTATTCTTTTCTGATTTCTTCTCGAGATAACCTTGCATCTTTATACCCTTGTTCTTTTTTGCACCTGATTGCTCCCGACACTCTCTTAGTGTCGCGTAGATCTTCTCTGCATGCTGAACTTCTTTATTTACTCTGACACTTCCATCAGGCTCAGTAACCATCGCCTGGACCAAGGTGTGTCCTTCTACTATCTGCTCCTTACGATATCTATTGATAACTGCATCGAGACATTCAAACGTTCTGCCACCCATCAGGTATCGGACTCCCTTCTTCTCTATACGAAATCTTTGAATTTGATTATTTATATGAAAGAACAGCGAATAATCGCCTGGGCTATTGTCGGAGGGTCTGACCTAAAAAATAAAAAATATTCTTATGTAAATCGTGCTTTGAAATTTAACATTATATTTCACATTAAGTTACTCACTAGAAAACTTCCAGGACCAGCTTTTACAAGCATATCCACAGCCTCACTCTTAGTCACGTTTGGATGAAACCAGGAAAAGACTGTGTTCGGATCAATGGAGTCGTCGAGATCCTCGACTAACTCCCGGAAGATTAGACCCTGTTCGCCGGTCCTGTGCGCGGTTACCCAGAGCCAACCATCGCCCATATCGTTGTGCACGAAAAAGATATCGCCCTTTTGGAAACTTAGTTCATCCGTATCCGGCATTTTGGTATATGGTAATATGGCCACAATTCGTTTTTTGTCATTGACTGGTTCCGGTGGAGGTGTAGGGTGCATGAGGCGTTCCCGTTTCAGAAGATCAGAACAATGCGTGTAATAGGCAACCAAATCAGATAGGCTGTTGAATTGGCGACCACCTGTAACATTCAATGACAATAATAATCGCTGACTTATATTTTAATACGAATCACAAATTACTTACCAATATAGTAGTCACCACAAACGGCAGTAATTCGAAAATGATTTATTCCAGTTCTTCCCAGGTAAGATAAAACATAACTCCCTGGTTTTCTGTCACTTTCACGCACTAAATAAGTTCCCATTTTACTGGCATCCCATAGTCTCTCTTCTGCAGTGAATCTATCCAAACGTCCATGATACCACCTTTAAAGAAATATACATTTTCAAACTCCCAAGAACTCTTGTTTTAGTCCAGTAAATCTATCTTACTATTATTCTTATTATAATTAAGAGAGATTGAATTTACAAATTTTCTGGCGGAGCTGCTAAGAGCGTTGCATTTGCACTATCTGGTTCCTCAGTGTCTTGCGGATCATCAGGTATGTTTTCAAGGAATGGATCAAATTCTTCTACATTTAGGGATTCATTTGGCCCACCATCTTCACTTCCTGTACTGGGAGACCCACCCTTGCTGTTATGTTCCACCTAGAGTATTCAAATTATATCTTTACTCATGATTAATAATAATTATACCACAGAAAGTTAAAATAATGTTTGCAAATATTAATGATATCATACAGTTGGCTAAGATATTTTTCGAAGTTACAAAAGGTATATTTATATTATTGATATACATAGTTTGGAGCATAGTGAAATACAAAAGCATTGACACTTGCCTTGTAGTACTTGACACAAAGAAAACAAACATTTATTTAACGTATAATTTGGATATTCATGTATAAAAAATATTTTAAAACTTTAAGAATTGCATGCCGAGTTGTGCAAAGATAATTGTTCATAAAAGAATGTATGAAATTAACGTAGAATATATAAAATACCTTGGCACTGTTCGACACGCTTGGGCCTCCGCGCACAAATTCTGCCATTTCGGTAGCATACGTCCTTTTTAAAAATTTGAGAATATTAAGCTAAATGCATTCGCTCGATTATTCAATATTCTTGTATTTTAGCTTATTTACAAACGATAAGGTTTATTGATGGAAAATGTATTGACGTTTCCCGACAGCCATTTTAGTCACTCCACACGCCGACCACGGACCTATGCTTCAGACGAGAACGTTGGCCCTGAAGTTCCAGCCGTTTAGATGGTCGATGAATGGCTGGACATTTGTGAAACGACCGATAAAGAAGCTACTATACTATTTGTCTATTGAATCATCCATATCTGGAATCTGTTCGCCCTTTGGAAAGTGGCCCTTTAAGTTTAATACCTAGTATCCCTAGAAATGTTAAAAAGTGTGTGTGTTTCGTATCGTGATAATACCTACATACAGCCAAACATAAGAGAGAAATGCGATAATCTTTCTCTTTGAATAGATACTGATGATGATTTTTTTCTTCTACTTCTGTTTGTCAATTGAAATTCGTAATTTTCTTCGAATAATGATGCTATAAATTCTTATTACACGCGTGTTTCAAATTACCTTTTGATCACATGGAAGTTGGTCTTTATTAACACGTGTAGTCAAGAAGAAAGAAAATCCCTAGTAAGAGCTGTCATCAAGAAGCTTACGCATTTAGGGCAAAGTTATCGCATTATTACTCGTAGCTTCAACAAATTTAACAGAATTAGAGAATGGTAAGTCTACTGTTATGGTATTTACTATATAAATGTCTTATTGGTTTTCATGAATTATTTTTCTTAGTTTTCATCATTACCTGTAACCTCTAATTGTGAACAATTTGTTTATGAAATTTAATCTACAATCTTTATTTTTCGGCAGTCAGCCCTCTTCAATTTCCAGAGCTTGCTCACGGTGGTACTATTATTGATATGTACCTGTGCATACATCAGATCCATAGTACCTAGTGTACTGGATAGAAATAAAGTTGGGTATGTACAAATAATCATTGAAGTCATAGCGATAACTATATTTCCTTATTCTCATGTGCTTACAGATTTCTTGGAACATTTTGGAAATGTGCAAGAATTGGTGAGAGGAAGAGTCCGTACGTGGCCATTAGCTGTCTATTTATGGCGTTCAGCATATTATTTTGGTCATAGAGTTATTTATGTGATTGGGAAGAAGCGTGAGAAATGAATGTATGTTTGTATAAATGTTTTTGATACCCTTTATTTGTCAACACGTTACTTTGGCAAAGCTGTATAATTAATCCGATTTGAGCAGATACTCCCTTGGAACCCCGTACTTTTTTTTTCTGATTTTTTTCTTGGTATATCCACAATATATATTTTTCTATAAACAACAACGTTCTCATTAAATATAGTAATCGTAATTTTAATATATTGAGCATCGTTTTTCTCTTCTTGACATAATGTATAGTAGGTTGATACACTTAACTCTTAGATTCCTTCTTATTCCATTATATCCCTCTATAATCCGTAAACGGTGACTAATTATGACAGTCTTGCTCGATTAACGATTATTACACATGCAGGGACAATCATTCTTAATTTCGTAACTATCAACTGGATCGAATCACGAGGTTCCTAGCATTATCAAATATTAAATTGTCACTATGATTAAACAAAATAACCTTCTGCCTACGTCTATCATATCATTATACATTCTACCGATATGAATTTAATATGGATATGACGGTGATTAACATCCTTTGAAACATTTTTTTGTCTATTCACCAACTTACGATCTATACTTAAGACTAGATATCTTTTTTTGTCCCTTTTTTAATACGCTAATTATTTGTCTGCGTTTGATTATAAATCCATCTGACTATCCCGACCATGATCAAATGTCCATTATCCTCTTGTACCTGTCACTCTGACACATTTTGTCAATACTGAGAGTATGGCACTTCTTACGTCCAATGAATAAAATAGAAGCAAAATTACAAAGTAAAACACAAAAACCTCACCCACTGATCTCGATCCCTCGTTACGTAGATTCAACAAGTCGTTGTGTTTAAAGGCGTTATTGTTCCTGTTCAGAGATACTCGAGGATCTACTGTGGTGCTGGCGTAAATATGCTTATGGACAAGCCTTGATGTACTTTTCTGCATAGCTGGTGTACTCAACTGATAAAATACTTGATTTAACGTGGTGATCTGAGCAACCTTAGGTTTCGTCCTTTGCATGTTTTTCCAATTCGCCGTGGAACGAGTTGGTATGGTTGCCCGTTCTATTTCTGTGTAAAATTTGAATAAAAATAACAATCTCAATAAGTTTCAAAAATATTTACCATAGACTCTCAAGGTGGCTTCAGCTTTCCCCATACTGGAGGAAGCAGAACAAGTGTACTCGCCAAGATCTATTTTCTGCAAACCACGTATCTTCAGCTCAATAGTAGTCTTCCAGTCATCTTCACTATGCCGTTGTTCACGAATTTCATATCTATCCCTGTGTCCAATGAATATCGATTATAATGAATACCGAATGAATCTACCCTATATCCAAAATGCATATGGATATATCTTTATTTGAATACCATACCCATTCATGATAACTTGATCTCTTCTGCTCCAAAGATTGATTGTCCGCGGAAAAGCTTCAATCATGCATATCAATAAGATATCGGTATCCAATGGCGAACCCAGAAGTTGATTGGGTACTTTGGCGCTCGGTGGAACTGGAATAAATAATTTTTTATTGATTCTAATGGTAATTTATATAATGTAAAATATTGTAATTCAAGACTCACAATTGACGCTAAGGAAGACTCTCTTACTGACAGCTGGCGGCACCTCGTTCTTGGCAATGCAAAGGTACGCGCCCATTTGTCTCCTATCGACTCGAGCAAGCTCGAGTTTCTCGCCAAATGCGCTATCCACTGAAAATCGTTTTAGCATGGAATTATATGCACAGCTGTTCAAAATAACCGAGCATATCCCTTTGTACATCAGAGCCATGCACAATGCTACCAATAAGAGGATTAGGTGACGGTAGGTATTAATATATTAAACGGTACCGCTGACCACTAATCCAATGTTCAACTATTAAAACCTCCTTTGATCGGTTTATCATTCTCATCTATATGTATATTCGCTTTTCCTTTAATTTTTTTAGGAAACAAAAATGTCCCATCAAGCAATTAAAAAATAACCTTACCTCGTTCAAGCTGCTCGTGCAAACCACGTACAAGTATGAACTTGTTCTTCTCACGACGCCACAAGACGAGCGGTTGCGGTCTTCCGGATGCTTTACAAGAGAGCGTCGCGTTCTCACCCTCGAGAACGGAAACTTCACCCTCTGAAGTGCCGGATGTCAATATATCTGGAGCGACTACGAGGGGTAAAAGATTTTCAATAAATCCATCGAGCTGAATCGAAGTGTATTTTCGAAATGGAGTTTCTATACATGTAACGTATATGAGGTGAGTAATACACTATCCATATAAATCTGTCAAATCTATCGAAATTTGATGTAAGATATGTCCTTCTGCCAGAGGATTATTATGAATTACCTGGAAACGACAAAGGGGTTGCACAGGGATAATACCAGGACTCGTGGTGCATACCACACCCTCGTAAGACAATACATGGACATCAAACCACTTCCCCGCATCCACGTAGGCAGCATTGAAAACGAACAATTAGGCATACCTAGAACATCCACGCATCCCAGCTGGCTCAACATGGGTTTCGTGTTAACTTGACACATATAACATCCCCGGTCAGCTTCCCTGAGTGATCGAATATGCAGGCGCCATGTTGTGCTTTCCTCGTCCTTTCGCCTGGTGGGATTTTTTGGTTTAATATTTTCCAAAAACACGGAGAACCGAGAGGAATGGGTTACCGTCCTTTGACCCATGGATAGAATGGTTTGATCCTCCGCTCGAAGCCATCCCACCTGGTATCACAAAGCACCTCAAAATTACCCCCATCAATAATACATTTAAATCGCTTAAGAACTAACACCCTTTCAAGGTTCCCCAAAAAGAAAATCGTTCCGTCATCCGTAACAGGTAGACCAAATAGCAAATAAGGGCTGGATAACGTTAGGGAGATGGAAGGTTTCGAGGGTGAAAACCAGTTTGCTTGTTGGCATATTGTCAGTTGTGATAGACCGATTTGGTAGGAAAGAGTGCAACTTGAATAATAAAAAAAAAAATATGGATTGATGGCGATACTCTGTTTTCGGTCTGTACCTTATAGTGTATCGAGGTAGATTGTATGAAAAAAATAATTGATTGATCCAATTTGACGTAAAAAATGGCTAACAAAGCTTTTTATTTTAACTGTAGTGCCTGTAGGACACGCTCTCTCTCACTCTCTCTTGTGCACTGCCCACGTAAATCCGCCGTTCCAAGAGGGATGAATGAAAACGTGTGAAGAGTCCGAAATTCGTCTAGGAGGAACCCGCAGAGATGAGCCCTCGGCACGAATCATCCCTTTCTAGGACACCGTCATCCCTTACCCAGAGGAGTTTACGAACAGGATGAACGTCCGTGAAAAAAAGAAAAAGGTAAAAATCCCAAAAGCGAGTAAAAAGAAGAGACGAGAAGGAAGATGAAAAAAATGGCAGAGGTCCTCTCTTTATGCGGGCAATTCCGGGCGGCGTAAGTGCTTTTGTTCAACGAATATGATTCTTTCTCCGGAAAGAGTTACGCGATGAGAAACCACCCTCGAGCCAGACTTTGGTTAAAGAGTGAAATGGCGAACGCGGCTGGTTTTAGAGCTCAGTAGTAGTCAGTCAGGTGAGAGAAATAGTGGTCGAGATGTATTTCAGTGCGAGGAAGAGAATTCCCCCGATGACTCCGGGCGTAATATTTTGAGAGTCCCTGGACCACGAATCTACGTTAGCACTAAGAGATTGCTCCTCACACCCTTTTCCAGGGATGCTCCCTACCCCATTTCCTCTTTATCCCCATCCCCATCAGCAAAGGCCCCGAACTCCCTTAGCCCTCATCCTACAGATCTTCCTAGTATTCACTCATCCCTCTTCCGTTCCATTGTAATCATGGAAACAATCATTCCCTGCTCTCGCTCGCGCCACCGAGCGACTCGCCTTTTCATCCCTATCTCACCGACGGCTGATACGCCTGGGACGACTGTTCCCAACCTCTAGCCCCTCCCTCCC